GAGCCTGGCTCGTTCCAGCTCCTCTCCCTGCGGTTTCCGAGAGTCGTGTCCCCTTCCCTTCGCCACACATGGGGCTGCCTGTCCCCCTGCTGCATCCCGCCCTAGGAGCTGCTGCGTTGCAGGATGAGCGCTCTGCCAGGCAGCCCGGCCTGTGGCTGTGTTACCCTGCTGGCCCTCCCCAGAGATGGCAGCATCCCCGTGCCAGGCGGTGCATCCCCGCGCTGTGTCACTGTGCGGTTGTTTCCCAGTAGCCCACCCGAGAAGCAGCCACGTCGCAAGGCGGAGTGACGTGTGTTGTCCCCCAGAGCACAGCGAGCTGCTTTCTCTGCCGACCTTGGGGAGTAGCCTTGTTGACTTGTCTCCTATGAGCATGCTGGGGGCCTAGAAACTTGGACAGCAAGTGTGACTAAACAGAAAACAGCCACCCACAAGCAGCCTCTGGCTGACCTGGGAGAATGTTGTTTCTTTAGCAATATCTGGGGCATTGAAAGCAAGTGGGTTACACTGGGCACAGATCTTATAGTCCCTGGCAGATTGTGTGTCAGGCAGCCAAAAAGTCTTCTCTTGGGCTTCAACTTTTTATACTTCATCTCAAGCCGGCAGCGATCTTTGCTCATGGGAGTGGAAAACTTCCATTGTCAATTTTTTGTCTCATCACATAAATCTGTGTGGTGCTGGCCTTTTCTGGAGGAAATTGTGGACTCAGAGAGAGTGTGTGTGTGCGCGTTTCCCACCCTGAAGTCTTTAAAATATGGAGTCAGTTAAAGCCAGTTGCCAATGTTCAGAAACGCCGAAATATACCTGCGTGACGTTACGTTTTTTCGGGGCAAAGGTTACAAATTAAACAGTTGTATTTAGTCCTTTATTTAGTTGGCTACAGGTGGCAATCTGGAGTCATAAACTTTTCTGATTGTTATTATTAACCCAGTGTGCCATAAGTTAGCCTGGCCCTCGACAAAGGGTAAGACCGCCACGTTGTAGGTGTGATGAATAGCCTGATGATCCCTGAGTTGGTATCTTGGGTTCCCCATTTAGAGATGTAGCATTTGAGGCACAGAAAACACAAATGACTTGCTCTGTGTCGTTGGCAGAGTAGGGAGTTCTTGACTCCTAACCTGTACAGGAGCCGTTGTCAGCCGGGGGTCCATAGAGCCCCTGGGGGGGGTCTTCCAAGGAGGGACAACATTAGGCACAGTGGAGCCCAGGGCAGAAAATCTAATCCCTGCAACCCGCCCTCCCAAACTGCAGCCCAAGCAGCTTAGCTTTGTGTGGTGCCCCTTGTGGTAGAGATGTCAAATCACAGCTAAACAGTTAACGGGTTAAATGAAGTGTTTAGCCGATTAACCATGATCCCGTGCTGTGGGCTGCTCCGTCTGGGCCAAGTGTGTCTCAGCCCAGCCAGACTGGAGCGCCCCAGGCACATCCGGAGTGTGGCGGGGCTGGGGCTGCTGTGCACCTGACTGGAGTCCTTCCCTAGGTTTGCTAGAGGAGTCTAGTGGATAGAGCAGGGGGGCTGGGAGCCAGGACTCCTCGGCTATGTCTACACTGGTGGCTCCCTGCGCAAGAACTTCTTGCGTAAGGGTTGTAGTGCAAGGAGTCCTGCACAAGAACACGTCCACGCTGCCGTGTGTGAGATGTGCTTTTGCGCAAGAGCGCCCATGGCAGTGTGGCTGCGCGGCAGGGATTCTTGCGCAATCAAACTCTATAGCGAAAATCGCTTTCTTGCGCAAGAGCGCGTCCACTCTTGTGCTTCTCGTGCAAGAGCTACGCTCTTTTCTTACAAGTGGAAGCTGTCTTGGCAAGAGCTCTTGCGCGCAAGAGCTTATACTTGTAAGAAAAGAGCGTAGCTCTTGTGCAAGAAGCTGTCTCTTACCACGCCATACTATACATCTGCTTGCGCAGGAGCAGGTGGGTAGTGTGGATGCACTGTAACAGCCGTTCTTGCGCAAAAGGCCACAAGTATAGACATAGAGAGCCTGGGGCTATCTGGTTCTGCTGCGTCTTTCGCCATCCAGTATCCTTATACCCACTAGGCTATCAAGTATAGCCCCAGGAAACCCCTTCTGGTCCCTGTTTTGTGCCTCCTTGGGCTTAGTTCCCCTGGTCTGGAGAGGATGAAACTGTGGGTCCTAGGGATGCAGAAAAGATTTTAAAACAGTAACTGTTACAAGTCCTAGTGATTACATGGTTAACTGTTGTATGTGGTCAGGTATCAGAGGGGTAGCCGGGTTAGTTTGAATCTGCACCTTATAGACTAACTGAAGTGTAGGAGCATAAGCTTTCGTGGGCAAAGACCCGCTTCGTCAGATGCATGTTGTATGTGGGGCACTCCCTTTGCAGTGTCTTAACCCCTCTTCCTGTGCTTGTCCCCACAGCTGCCGCCTTGGGATGCTGTAAGGAGCCGGAGGAGGAAGAAGCCGCCGGAGGGGATGCCGGCCTGTTGCATCGAAAGTGTAGCTTTCCAGGACTCCAGCCCAGCCCAGTGAAGCGGGCAGAAACTTCGCCCTCCCGCCGTCCGATGTGAGTGATGGAAGAGCCTGGCTCTGAACCGAGCCAACCCCAGCAAGAGCCCCCCCCCACGCTGGCAGCCTGGTGAACCATCGGCGCACCCACGAGGTGGGGCTCTTCACCTGCCTGCTGTGCCGCAAGGAGTTCTCCAACCCCATGGCCCTGAAGAACCACCTCCGCATCCACACCGAGGAGAGGCGCCACCGGTGCCTGGACTGCGGCCGCACCTTCCGCGTTGCCTCCCAGCTGGCCAGCCATCACAGCTCAGCCCACGCCGGCCGCGGCCTGAAAGAGGAGGAGGAGGAAGAGAACAACTTTCAGCAAGGACAGGACTCTTCGTCGTCGGATGCCGATGTTTTCCCCGCTCTAGAAGGCGGCGGTGCTGGGCTGTTGCTGAGCAACCTGGAGAAATACATCGCCGAGTCGGTGGTGCAGGCCGAGTTCCCCAGCAAAATGGAGGAAGGCCAGGAGGCGCCTGAAGTGCCGGTGGAAGAGCGACGTTATAAGTGCAACCAGTGCGACAAGGCCTACAAGCACGCAGGCAGCCTCACCAACCACAAGCAGAGCCACACGCTGGGCGTCTACCAGTGCGCTGTGTGCTTCAAGGAATTCTCCAACCTCATGGCGCTCAAGAACCACACCCGGCTGCACTCGGAGTACCGTCCCTACAAGTGCCCGTTATGCAGCAAGGCCTTCCGCCTGCCCAGCGAGTTGCTGAGCCACCAGAAGGCCCACGAGAAAGCCCGGTGGGCAGGGAGAGCCCCCTCCGAGGGCTCGGAGCACAGCATCTCGGAGGAGGACTCCATTGAGACTTCAGCCAAGTTGGATATCTACCAGCTGCCGCCGGCCGCCTTCGGAGAGGGCGCCCCCTGCAGTCTGAAAGATGGGGCGAAGGCCGGGGGCGGAGACCGGGGCAATACAGATGGGGAGCTGTGCGTGAGGTGTGGGGGAAACTTTGCTGAGGAGGAGGAACTGAGGAACCACAGCTGCTTCTACCCAGAGGAGGAGGAGAAAGAGGAGGAGGGGAGCTTGGCCCAACCCACGATGGACTCCGAGGGGGCTTGGGAAGCCAACAGTAAGGACGGAGAGCAGGCACGGCCCTACCGGTGCGGGGAATGTGGCCGGACCTACCGCCGCAGCCTCATCAACCACAAGAAAAGCCACCAGACGGGCGTCTACAGCTGCAGCGTCTGCTGCAAGCAGCTCTTCAACCTGGCAGCTCTCAAGAACCACCTGCGGATTCACCTCAAATCCAAGCCGGCCTCCCGGCCTGGCCTCCGTTACTCCTGCCCCCCAGCGCCCGAAGAGGCTGCTTGCCACCTCGACCAGGGCCCCTCAGAGCCAGCCAGCAGGGACGAGGCCTCGGAGCCCCCCGCACACGGGGAGGTGGAAGAAGGAGGCCCCCTCAAAGAGGAAGAGGCTGGTTGTATGGAGGAGGAGGACGACGGGGCGTCGGACGAGAGGCCGTACCGCTGTGGGGAGTGTGGCCGGACCTACCGCCACCGGGGCAGCCTGGTTAACCATCGGCACACCCACCAGACGGGTGTCTACCAGTGCTCCCTGTGCCCTAAGCAGTACTCCAATCTGATGGCACTACGCAACCACGTCCGCATGCATTTCCGGGCGGCGCGGGGCAAGGAGCGGGAGAACTACACCTGCACCTGCTGTGGGGAGAGCTTTGAAGAGGAAGCAGAGTTCCAGCAGCACCAGCTGCGCCACGTACCCACGGATGCCATTCCCTGTCCCCAGGAGGGGAAGGATGAGGAGGAGGAGGAGGAGGAGCCGGGCACCGTCCACACACGGGAGGCGGCTTTGCTGCAGGCCATCAAGCAAGACGTGGAGCAGTTGGAGACCGCGGGGCCAGCGGCGGGGACGTCCCACATCTGTGGCTGCTGTGGGATGATCTTTCAGGATCTGGGCAGTCTGCAGAGCCACGCCCTGGTGCACGGCAGCAGTGGGAAGCCCAGCCCGGCTGAGTGTGAGGCAGAGCCACTGGGCAGGCGGATGTACAGCTGTGAGCTCTGTGGCAAGTCCTACCGGCACTCGGGCAGCCTGATCAACCACAAACAAACGCACCAGACTGGGGATTTTGAGTGCTCGCTCTGCGCTAAACGCTTCTCCAATTTGGCTGCCCTCAAGAGCCACTTACGTGGCCACCAGAAGCCAAGGAAGAGCCGGGTGGGGGCGGAGGAGGAAGAGGAGGGGGGCATGGCAGAGCCCAGAGTTGCTCCTAACGGCACAATGCATCTGGACGCGAGTGGCGAGGCAGAGTGTGATGGCCCCAAAAGCCCCCGGGATGGAGAGGAGAGGATGCTGGCTGAGGAGGAGCCCAAGCTGAGCTACAAGCTGCAAGGGGGCAGCATGGTGAACGGCTGGCAGCAGGCTTCGCCACCCGGCAGCCCCAACTCGCAGCCCTACCAGTGCGAAATGCTCGACCCCAAGCCTGGCCAGCAGCTGGGCATATACCAGTGCTCGCTGTGCCCAAAGGAGTACTCTAACGTGGATGCACTGAAGAGCCACTTCCGCGGCCATGCCATGGCCCAGCAGCCGGGCGCCGGTGCCGAGGAGCGTCCCTTCCTTTGCAGCCTCTGCGGCATGATCTTCCCGGGCGAGACGGACCTGCAGCGCCACCATGGGCTGGCTCACAGTGGCGAGGGAGAGCCGCGGGAAGGCAGCCTGGAGGGGGGCGAGGATGCCGCTTTCCCAGGGCTCCAGGAGGAGGTGGAAGGGCGGGTGGAGGAGCGCGGAGGGGAGGAAGAGCTGCTTCTCTCGCACATCTGCGGAGCCTCTGCGGCATGATCTTCCCGGGCGAGACGGACCTGCAGCGCCACCATGGGCTGGCTCACAGTGGCGAGGGAGAGCCGCGGGAAGGCAGCCTGGAGGGGGGCGAGGATGCCGCTTTCCCAGGGCTCCAGGAGGAGGTGGAAGGGCGGGTGGAGGAGCGCGGAGGGGAGGAAGAGCTGCTTCTCTCGCACATCTGCGGCTATTGCGGGCAGACGTTTGACGACATGGCTAGCCTCGAAGAACATAGCCTGGGCCACCGGGAGGAGAAGGAAGCCGCTTTGGCCGACACCACCATCCAGCTGCGGCTGGCACCACGGCCAGAACTGGCAGAGGAGCAGAAATCCAGCTTGACGCCCCCAGACAGCCGCCCCTACGCGTGTGCGCAGTGCGGGAAGACCTACCGGCACGGCGGCAGGCTGGGCCATCAC